AACTGAGTGAGTCGGATACGATGTGCACGCACTGGCTACCGGCTGCAGGTGGCTCAGCCTCGTGAGCGCACACCACTGGTCTTCCTCTACTGGATGGCGCTCTGACGCGGATCAGCCACACCTCAGCTCCAGTGAGCCTTGGTGAATCAGGCCTCTTTCGCCGCACCATCGTTTACCTGTGGTGCTGCAGTGAATCTGAATTAGTCGCTCTCGCTCGCGCTCACCCCCCTCTTTTTCCGAGGTCATGGACGGCCTGGTCCTGTGTGCACGCACGTGGGCTTCGCCTGGTCATTGGCCATTCGGACCCGCGTACTGCCTGCGACTTTTACAGTGCCCCGCTGTCCGTCTTGGCCTCGCTTCCGAATGCGGTTCGGCTGGAACTTGGCGCCGCAAGGGCGACTTCTCCCCCCCGTTCCGCTGCCGGTTGCCGCGCCTTTTGCTTCCCCACCAGCCGGGATGTCTGGGCCGGTCACCAGCCGACGCTGTATTGCGTCTCAGTGGGGGGCATTTTGTCCCTGGCATGTGCATGCGCCACTGCGTGTGTTGTCCGCTGGAGTCAGCGGCGATCTCGCGCCAATTTACATCGTACCGCGCCCCGGACGTTGTGCCCGCTCCATGTCCCTCGCCTTGGAGCCGCGAACCAAACGAATCGGGGAGACGGAAGGCTCCGGGTCGGGGGAATCGGGTTGGACTGACGGGGCCATCATGAAAATGACGAGACCCAATTTGAAATGTGACGCGAAATCCCGCTGCAAACATCCCACGGCAACTTGACCGTCCTCGGAACCCCAAGAGACCTCACCGCACGGTCCGTCCTACCGTACTGCACGGTTTTGGGACGTCGGAAACCCCAGTCCCCCGAGACATCCTCGGAGAGGAACTCGAGTCCCAAAACTGTGCGGTGACCTCTCCCCGCCGACTAACCACACGGAGTGGTCACCACCCCGTTGGGGGGCCCCCGAGTCAAAACCCAGGACGCGCTCCTCAGAAAACACCAGCAAACCCAAGTTTTGGCGAACTGGAGTCTTACGTTTCCACGAAAATGGGGGGAGGAAAAGCACCCTTCCCAAACCCCCGACATCGACACCCAGAAATCTCCACCCATTCCTCGGGGCTGGCTTTTCATCGGGAATCGTTCTTTGACGGTCCCGAAACCCGGTAAGTGCCCCCAGAAGCCAAAAATAACAAAGACCGCGCCGAGGACTAGGAACAGGAAAATGAAAAGGAGGAAAAGAAGGAGGAAGAGGAGGAGGAAGAGGAGGAGGAGGAGGAGGAACCCCCAGTGGCCAAAAACAACGAAACCGGCCACCGCCTGCTCCAGCGGGGCCCGCAGCAGGGCCGTCGGCCGGGAGATCCTGGCGCGCGGCGGGTTTCGGCGCGGCCGCACCCCCCTCGAGGAGGGGATGCCCGTGCGCTTGGGTCCCCTTCGGCGACTTCGACATGCGTGGTTTGCAAAGGTGCGGGTTGCAAACCGAACCCTGCGGGGCGGGCGAGGACCTCGGCGAAGTTCTCCGCCGCGCCCCGGCGAGAGCAACGTGGCACCCCTGAAACCCCATCGACGCAGATCGCAAACCGCACCGTGCCACTTGTGGTCGCCAACCCCCGGTGGTTTCGTGACACCCTGGCGTAATAATTTTTCCGCGATGAGCGATTCGGTCCTGCTGCGGGCCCGAAGACCATAACATGTCGATCGGGCTCGAAAAGTGCTGCAAGAAAATGGGGCCCAGGGCTCCGGCCGTGACTGTTTCGCGATGCGTGGCGTGGCGGCTGCCTCGTGCAAAGAAAATGCGTCGTCCATGAGCTTGTCCCGATCCCGCTTGACGTTTTGATTCTCGAGGCCGTCGGGGACCTGTGCTGATTGTTGTTGTTGTCCCCGACCCCATCTCGGACCCTGGGCCTGAACGAGAACTGGAATGTGGCCCCGCGGCTCACGGCTGGGAATTACCTGCAGCTTTCTACCCGTGGTATGGTTGGGGCTATCACAACATACCTATACGACCACCCTGCGGGTGATAAGGAAATGAGGGGGGAGGGGGAACCAACGTCTCACTCCATCGATGTCGCTATCGATATCACAATCGATTTCACGTTCGATCTCACTATCGATATCACTATCGATTTCGCTATCGATCTCACTATCGATCTCACAATCGATCTCACAATCGATCTCACATTCGGTCTCATATTCGGTCTCACTGTCGGCCTCACAATCGATCTCACAATCGATCTCACAGTCGATCTCACACTCGGTCTCACATTCGGTCTCACTACCCATCTCACTAACGATCGCACAATCGATCTCACTATCGATCCCACATTCGGTTTCACATTCGGTCTCACTATCGATCCCACAATCGATCTCACTCTCGATCTCACAATCGATCTCACTATCGATATCACAATCGATTTCGCAATCGATCTCACATTCGGTCTCACAATCGAACTCTCATTCGGTCTAGGTTGGGGAGAGGGGCCCAGCAATGGGCAACATCGTATTTTTTCCTTCCTCTTTCGAGCTCGCGCCGACATCCGAAGGCACCACTAGCCGAAACAGGGCAAACGTCTGGAAAGCCAGCGAAAGTGCGCCTCATGTGGTCAGGGAATACGGAAGCGCTGGCAAAGCCTGGCGCAGCCCGTAACCCCTGCACTCATTTCTTGCTCGGCAACGTTGCTTGGCTCTCCTCCGCGCGGTGTGCCAAGCGCCGGTCAGCGTCCGCGTGTGCCGTGTGCAGCGAGACGAGGCGGAACTGCGACACACTGGCAAAGTCTGGTGCGGGCGTCCGGCTTCCGGCCGCAGCGAAAACAGCGCCGGAGCTCCCGGCAATTTTCCCTCGGCAGCCCCTTCCAGCAACGACCGAGGATCGACGACCGACGACCGACGACCGACGACGACGGCGACGACGACGACGACGACGACGAGGCCGTTTTTTTGTGTTTGGGACCTCAGAGCCCAGCGTACAGCACGGCATGACGGTACAGCGCGGCACAAAGCCGTGGGACCGGCACGGCACGGCGCGAGCGCCCTCATGAGGTCGCCGCCCCGAGGTGGGGCAAGGCAGAGAAAGCGGGAGGGAGGAGGCGAGGAGAGGAACGAGCGGAGGGAGACAACGAAGGAGGACACGGCTCGAGGCGAATCCAGCCGTGGCGACGAGTGGCCGATTTCACGATCGATATCACCATCGACGTCGTCATCATCATCATCATCATCGACATCACCATCAACATCATCATCATCGTCATCGTCATCATCATCAACATCATCATCATCATCAACGTCGTCATCATCATCGCAATCATCATCACCATCATGGCCATCATCACCATCATCACCATCAGCATCGCGCAATCGATCTGACTATCGATCTCACAGTCGAACTCCCAATCGATCCCACAATCGACGCCATCATCATCATCGTCGTCATCATCACCATCACCATCATCACCATCATTACCATCATCACCATCATCACAATCATCATCTCACAATGGATTTGACTATCGATCTCACAAACGATATCACTATCGATCTCACATTCGGTCTCATTATCGATGTCACAATCGATCTCACAATCGACGTCATCATCATCAACAACAACACCATCATCATCATCATCGCCATCATCACCAACATCATCATCACCATCATCATCATCATCCACATCATCATCGGGACACCGACGGGACACCGGCGGGACACCGCGCGCCACCGGCCGCCCGGAAAAAACACATTTGGTCCGGCCGCGCCTCAGCCACAGGGACACCGACGGGACACCAGCGGGACACCGGCGGGACACCGCGCGCCACCGGCCGCCCAGAAGAGACACATTTGGTCCGGCCGCGCCTCAGCCACAGGGACACCGACGGGACACCAGCAGGACACCGGCGGGACACCGCGCGCCACTGGCCGCCCGGAAGAGGCACATGTGGTCCGGCCGCGCCTCAGCCACAGGAGACTTTTCTCTCGCCCGCCCACGCAGCTTCGTTTCGCCCGCGCGCGCGGCACGCACGAACACGAAACCGAAATCGATTTCCCGGTCGGGGGGCTCTCCGTTCTACTTCGATCTCACCCCCTCACCTCCGACTGCATCACACCCGCGTATAATTATAGCCATCTGATACAGCATAGAGCTACTACCATTGCCACCATAAGAATAATCGGAGCGAGATCGCGCAGCGTGGTTGGCGAAAAGAGGTCGGCATATTCTGGCAGCTCTCGAGAACCTCCGGCCTCCTTCTTAGATGTGTCGCCCCTTCGTTCATATTCTCCCCGTCGATTCCGTCTCCACCTCCTCCTAATTCCCTTCCCTCGTGACTAGGCCCATGCAATCGAATATCCGCAAGCACAATCGGGTGAAAGCGGCCTGGAAGTTTCTTGGGCTGCCCCAGAGCCCGCGACGAAAGCTGGCCGCAACATGCAATGTACGCATTCATACCCTTTGAGGATGACGGCCGTGGGGGAAGTACAATACCATGACACATAAGTTCCAACCTCCCTTGCCGCACTCGATGGACACCCCTCGGCCCTGAAGTGCAGGTGGTGGTACAGAGATCTGTCGCACCTCACGTTGCTTCCATCCTGGCGGGAGCAACGCCGCAACTCATGCAGAGCGGGTTCTCAGTCCACCTGGCTTCCACCCTGCGTCCACACATATCCTGTCTTGTATCATGAACGTCTGATATTCTGAACCAATCAATGGCTTGCTTTGTGTACCTGGCAACCCCAGAACATTGACATTAGCGAGCTCGAGAGAGATTTCTAAAAGTCTGTCAGTTGTCGCGTGGAGGGTGTAGGTGAGCGCCCACAAGACCATCATCGGTGGCCAGATGCCTCTGAACATGGAGGGATGATGAGTGGGGCCGTGCGTTATGGACGCGGGCCCCCCTGTCCCTTCATGAGGAGGGGGAGGAGGAGGTGTAGGTGGACGAATATCGGCGGAAGACAGAAACCAAAAGGAGGAAACCGATGCCCCGGCGCGTTCACGCGCAGGCTGGCGGGCGTCCTCCAAGCGCCGCAGCAGCTCCGCCGCCCGCGGCCCGCAGGACGCGACATTCGCGAGATTCCGCGCCTGGGGAGGATATGAGGAGGACGACGACGCCGAGGTCGAGGAGGTGGACGACGCGGGAAAGGGGGGGAGGAGGACGACGAGGTAGAGCAACCAACAACTAAAGGACACGGCTCGTGTGCTCCAGCGGCGAGCTCACGGGCCGCCGCCGCCGCGCTCTGCCAGCTGGCGCGTGTCCAGGCGCCGTCGCCGAGAGCGAAGAGGATGCCGAGGATGACGGGAATGACGGGAAGTACGGCGATGACGACGAAGGCCCAGGATGAGGATGAGGAGGGGGAGGAGGAGGAGGAGGAGGAGGAGGAAGAGGAGGGGAAGGAGGAGCAGGAGGAGGAAGAGGAGGAGGAGGAGGAGCAGGAAGGCGAGGAGGATGAGGAAGAGGAGGAGCAGGAGGAGGAGCAAGAGGAGGAGCAGGAGGAGCAGGATGAGGAGGAGGAGGAGGAGCAGGACGAGGAGGGCACGGCGATGAGCGAGCAGGCGGCGCACGGGTCTCGCGCGCGCGCGGCGGGAGATCTTCTGGAACCTTGTGGCCATGCCCGATTGGGTCGCGCTACACCCACTGACGCGGGCACATGTTTCCCCAATCAGAGCTTGCCTCTGTAGGGGTCCTAGTGGATTCATACGGTTAGGTGAGGTACGGCGCCGGCGGGCACCCAGGCGTGCCGCCGAAATCGGCGCCGTATAGCCTTATAGCCCTATAGCCTTATAGCCCCATGGCTCTGTAGCCCTATAGCCCCACAGCCTTATAGCCCTATAGCCTTATAACCCTATATCCCTATATCCTATAGCCCTATAGCCCTATAGCCCCCATAGCCCCCATAGCTCTGTAGCCCAATAGCCCCATAGCCTATAGCCTTACAGCCCTATAGCCCTATAGCCCTATAACCCTACAGGCCTATAGCCCTCATAGCGCTATAGCCCTATAGCACTAATAGCCCATATAGCCCTATAACCCCATAGCCCTAAAAAGGATTCGGGTTGGGTCTTTTCTCTGGTATCGGGGCGCACGAATGGGGGGCGGCGAGAGGCGGCGCCAGCTCCGCCACCCGCGGCGCGAGGCCCCTCTGCGCGTCGATGGCCTCGCGCGCGTCCGCCAGCCTGGCCTGCGTGGGCCCAGGCGCACGGCGGGCGGCGGGGGAAACAGGGGGGGGAGGGAGGGCACGTGCTTTTTCTTACCTCTGGTCGGGAAAAGAGGGTAGGAGGGAGGGGGGAGAGGGATGGAGGGGGGAAGGGGAGGAAGGGGGGGAAGGGATGGATGGATGGATGGAACGCTGGGGGGGGCGATTAGTCTCAGTGCCGTGGCCTGGGCATCTAAGTGCAATGCAATGCTCTGCCAAATATAAAATGCCCCCTGCGTGACATTCGAGAGCGGACGCGGGGCTAGTAATTCTGTACCGCAGCCGGGGAAAAGGGGGGAGGGAGGGAGGTTTTCTTTTTCGTCTCTGGGCCATAACGCGCGTGAGGCCCTCCCTCACGCCCCCCTCACCCCTCTCATAATGGAACGCTCCCTCCCCCCACCCCAGTGCGTCCCTGGCACTGCCGCAATACGTCCAGCACCAATTTATGGTGCCCGACCCACTCGGCGGGAGGGGGGCATTAGGTTATGCCCCCCCCACTTCCTCCCCCATACGGCCCGTTATCGCCGCGAATGAAAATGCTCTCGAGGGAGGAGGATAATGGAGGGAAAGAGAACTATGCCCGTGATCAAGACTGAACGCGGAAGTCGGTGCCGATCTTGGTCCACATCCATTTTGGTTACCGTCCATCTTGGTCACCGTCCATCTTGGACCGTCAGAATACCCTGCGGGCCCGTCATAATAATTCCAGGCTTGGGATTCCCACGCCTCTGGAGGCTCACTGCTGGTTTTCTGGCCGTCCAGCTGCTCGCTCGGGGGTGGGCGCGAGAGAGAGAGAGAGAGAGAGAGACCGCGCGGGCGAAATCTGAGTTTCTTTTGTCCTCCTTATTCCCTCTACCTCGCACCTCCATCCCCCCCCGCTCCTCCAGGGCAACGCCTGTAATGAGGAATATGGACGGGGGGGCGATGTCACGGAGGCAAGGGGACCAACTGCATGAAGAGGACTGGGCGTGCAAGGGCGATGGCCGCGATGTTGTGCTACGTGAGGGGAAAACTTGAGAGTTTCGCCCTTCCTCGATCCCTGCCACGCGCCCTCCATCCCTGCTTCAATCTTCCTCCGTCTCTCTGCATTCCACTCCCTTCCTTTTGCATCCTCACCGACTCGAAAAGACACGTCTTCTTGTCATGTTGCGCACCGAGACGAAAGCAAGAGCGCGGCCGCGTATTGGTGGGCCCCATTGCCCCTTCTCTTGAGGCTTGGGCTCGACCAGTTGGCAGCGTTTTCGTGTATCCACCTCGCTCTAATTCACTCATGCTCTTCCTCCCCTCTCTCCTTCCTTCCTATCCTGCCCTTCATGTCGTTTTCTTCGACGTCAAAAGGCCAGCGACCCCCAACACTATTCATCTCGGGAGGGATGGAGGGAGAGAGGGGGAGGGGGAGGGGGAGGGGGAGGAGGAAGGGGAGGGGAGGGGGAGGGGGAGGGGGAGGAGGATAGGAGGAGGAGGAGGAGGAGGAGGAGGAGGAGGAGGGAAAGTGGCAGGAAGTGTATGAGGTGGCAGGAGGCAGGAGGCTGGAGGAGGAGGAGGAGGAATGGGGAGAGGAGGAGGAGGGAGGAGGGAAGGGGCGAATGGAGGGTGGTAGTGGTGCAGGGGGAGGGGAACTCTGTTGATATCGCTGGTGCGACCGATCGTGATCGACCCGCGGCTATGCGCGGGGGGGGCACCTCCACGCCGCCGGCCCCGGTCAGCCTCGCCACGCTCTGCGCCAGCTCGCTCACCCGCGGGGCGATGGCCTGTTTCGGGGAGCAGGATCGATTTCCTCCTCCTCCTCCTCCTCCTCCTCCTCCTCCTCCTCCTCCCCTTCCTCCACTTCCTCCTCCTCCTCCTCCTCCTCAACATCATCCATCTTTTTTTTTACAACTAGATGTAGAAACATGACTCCACCCCGTCTGACCACCAGGCGTGACCACTAAACTGGTCGGCAGGGCTCGCTGGGCGTTTCGCCTGAGGCCACCTCTCCCTTTCTGATCCCGAAACTTGAATTTCCAACAGTAGCAAGGATTTAGGGGTGCGTTCTCGAAACGTTGCTCTCACCTGAACACGCTCACCCGCGCCGTCAAGAACTCTTACATGGAACCAGAGAGGACGGGAATCGTGACGGGTGGGCGCATTGCAACATCGCTGATGCATCCCCCCTCCTCCTCTTCCTCCTCCCCCTCCTCCTCCTCCTTTCTCCTCCTCCCTCCACTCGGGGATCTACTGGCCCGGGTCAATCCAGACCCGGGCCAATCGGACTTTGCAAGACACTGCACAATCCTGCAGGATCCTGCGTCCAAGCCCGAGTCATTGCAGCCCTGGCCCTGCAGGATTCCTGTAAGAGCCGGCGCCCTGGCCGACCCCCGTTTGCATTGACCCTCGTCCCTAGAGCCCCGAACCCCTTCCTCCCCCTCCTCCACCTCCTCCTCCTCCTCCTCCCTCCCTCCCTCCCTCCCTCCCCCCGCCCTCCCCCTCCCCATCCCCCTCCCCTCCCCCCCTCCTCCTCCTCCTCCTCCTCCTCCTCCTCCTCCTCCTCCTCCTCCTCCTCCTCCTCCTCCTCCTCCTCCTCCTCTCCTCATCCTCCTCCATTTTCCTTATACATAACTTCTCCCTGTCGCACCCCGAGGCCAGTTTTTAGGGCGGGCCTGGCGTGTCGCCTGAGACTTCCTCACCATTTATGACCCTGAAGCTCAAGGATTGGCAACCGCTTCGCAGGTGGGGGGCGGGTGGTTTTTCAAGATGTGGCTCTCGCCTTAGCGCCGCGCACATTCGTCTTAAACAGTTGCAGAACTTCCACGGATCGAGGGCGGGCCGTCTTCAAGATGTGGCTCTCGCCTTGGCGCCGCGCACATTCGTCGTAAACAGTTGCAGAACTTCCACTGATCGAGGGCGGGCCGTCTTCAAGATGTGGCTCTCGCCTTAGCGCCGCGCACATTCGTCTTAAACAGTTGCAGAACTTCCACGGATCGAGGGCGGGCCGTCTTCAAGATGTGGCTCTCGCCTTAGCGCCGCGCACATTCGTCTTAAACATTTGCAGAACTTCCACGGATCGAGGGCGGGCCGTCTTCAAAATGTGGCTCTCGCCTTAGCGCCGCGCACATTCGTTCTAACAACATGCAAGAGTTTCACGGATTGATGGCGGGTGGTTTTTCAAGATGTGGCTCTCGCCTTAGCGCCGCGCGCATTTCGTCTTAAGCATATGCAAGAGCTTCACGGATCGAAGGCGTGTGGTTTCAAAATGTGGCTCTCGCCTCAGTGCCGCGCACATTCGTTCTCAAGAACTTCACGGATGGATGGCGGTTCCTTGTCAAAATGTGGCTCTCGCCTTGGCGCCGCACAATCGTTTAAACACATTTCAAAAACCTCACGGGTTCCCAGGACCAGCGTACCGTAAATCATGTGTTGTACATATTCTGGAATGTAAGGGTGCAACAGTTGCGGTGATTCGCGGCGTTGAAGTTCCAATAATGGCGTTCTGGTGCGATTCATGATCGCCGAGATGCAGCAGTCATGTTGATCCGTGGCGTTGTAATCCCGAGAACAATGTTTTGGCATGCTTCTGGGTCTTCAAGCGGTTGTCTTCCAACGAGGCATTCCCTCAGTGGAAATGAATCGTTGTAGGGGCCTATGAAGCAGGAGCTTGGAGGGAGGGTTTATTCCAACATCATCGATGATTCTTGGGTTTACACTGGTCCTCCTCCTCCTCCTCCTCCTCCTCCCTCCCTCCCTCCCTCCCTCCCTCCTCCCTCCCTCTCCTCCCCCTCCTCCTCCCCCTCGTCATCCTCCTCCTCCTCCTCCTCCTCCCTCCCTCCCTCCCTCCTCCCTCGTCCTCCCCCTCCCCCTCCCCCGCCTCCTCCTCCTCCTCCTCCTCCTCCTCCTCCTCCTCCCGAAGCAACGAGTGGCATACAAACAGCAGCCGTCGGAGGCCCGCGTGCGCAGCTCCCGCGTCGGCGCCGGAGGCCTCCCTTCCACAGGCGCGCGCGCCAAGGGCGGCGCTGGAGGCCCTCCTCCTCCTCCCTCCCTCCCTCCCTCTCCCTCCCCTCCCCTCCCCCTCCCCCCTCCCCGCTCCTCCCTCCCTCCCTCCTCCCTCCTCCTCCTCCTCCTCCTCCTCCTCCGCCTCCGCCTCCGCCTTCTCCTCCTACTCCTCCTCCTCCTCCTCGTCTTCGTCCTCCTCCTCCTCCTCCTCCTCTCCCCATCCTCCTCCATTTTCCTTATACATAGCTTCTCCCTGTCGCACCCCGAGGCCAGTTTTTAGGGCGGGCCTGGCGTGTCGCCTGAGACTTGCTCACCATTTATGACCCTGAAGCTCAAGAATTGGCAACCACTTCGCAGGTGGGGGGCGGGTGGTTTTTCAAGATGTGGCTCTCGCCTCAGCGCCGCGCACATTCGTCTTAAACAGTTGCAGAACTTCCACGGATCGAGGGCGGGCCCTCTTCAAGATGTGGCTCTCGCCTTAGCGCCGCGCACATTCGTCTTAAACATTTGCAGAACTTCCACGGATCGAGGGCGGGCCGTCTTCAAAATGTGGCTCTCGCCTTAGCGCCGCGCACATTCGTTTTAACAACATGCAAGAGTTTCACGGATTGTGGGCGGGTGTTTTGTTCAAGATGTGGCTCTCGCCTTAGCGCCGCGCGCATTTCGTCTTAAGCATATGCAAGAGCTTCACGGATCGAGGGCGGGTGGTTTCAAAATGTGGCTCTCGCCTCAGTGCCGCGCACATTCGTTCTAACACTTTGCAAGAGCTTCACGGATGGATGGCGGTTCCTTTTCAAAATGTGGCTCTCGCCTTGGCGCCGCACAATCGTTTAAACACATTTCAAAAACCTCACGGGTTCCCAGGACCAGCGTACCGTAAATCATGTGTTGTACATATTCTGGATCGCGAGGGTGCAACAATTGCGGTGATTCACGGCGTTGAAGTTCCACTAGTGGCGTTCTGGTGCGATTCATGATCGCCGAGATGCAGCAGTCATGTTGATCCGTGGCGTTGTAATCCCGAGAACAATGTTTTGGCATGCTTCTGGGTCTTCAAGCGGTTGTCTTCCAACGAGGCATTCCCTCAGTGGAAATGAATCGTTGTAGGGGCCTATGAAGCAGGAGCTTGGAGGGAGGGTTTATTCCAACATCATCGATGATTCTTGGGTTTACACTGGTCCTCCTCCTCCTCCTCCTCCTCCTCCTCCGCCTCCTCCTCCTCCTCCTCCTCCTCCTCCCCCCGTGCGGGCGAGGCGAGCAGGGGAGGGGTGGAGCTGAGGTGAAACGATAGGAGGGGATTGGCAAGGGGGGGACACGTAGACCTGGAATCGGCGATACCCCACCGATGGATAGGCGATAGGCCCCCGACGGCCACTCCGCACGCTCCTGGGCGGGCTGGGTTATCAGACCCCTGTCGTCGATCAATGGGCGATTGGGGGTCAACGCCCCCCTTATGCCTATTCCCTCCCTGTCGTCTGCCCCTGGGGAGCCGCAGCCTGGAGCTCGCCGAGGGACTCCGTCCGGCGCGAAAGCTCCTCCACCCGGGGTACGATCGCCTGGATGGGCGGCGAACGAAAGGGGGGGGAACTGAGACGGAGAAGGGCTTCTCAGAAGGCTCCGGGACTTCTCAGAAGCCCTCGCGCCTTCTGAGAGGTTTGTCGCGTCTTCGGGGAAGGCGCAGAAAACTTCCCCGAAGGCCGGGGGACTTCTGAGCCTTCGGAGAAGGCCTTCTCTTTCTCACTTCCCCCCCTTCGCTCGCCGCCGACGGATGGGGCGAGGGGGGCGGGAGGAGGAACTGCCTACGTGGCAGCATCCCTCCTTGGCCTCTAGTGCCACCAGCCCTGAGTCCTGAGGAGGACGCCTCTCTCCTTATCCTCCGCCGAGGCCTCCTCCTCCCCTCCCTGCTCCTCCGAGGCTTCCTTCCCTTCCCTTCCTTCCCTTCCTCAGACAGACAAACAGTCCCGCACTCCCTCCCTCCATCCCTCCCCTCCCTCCCTCAAGCTCCACTTCCCCGAGAAAGGCTTTCGAGTGTCTTCGGGGCTCACTAAGGTCCCGGGGGAGTTTGTGGGAGAAAAAAGGAAGAACACGACGAGCAGGAATAGTGGAAGGAGCAAGCGAAGTAGGAGAGGGAGGAACTTAAGGGGGAGGGGAACATATACACATTTGTATATATACATATATGTATATATAGAGATATATAGATCATACGGAACGGAACGAGTAGCAGCATGATGATGATGGAACGGTTAATCTGTAGACATGGCGGAGAAGCTTGCGGAGGTTAACGGCAGGACGAGATTATCTCTGGAGTGGCAACGCCAGCAACAGCAGGATCATATAAACAAGTGGGAGGAGGGAGGGGAAGGACGGGGTGGCGAGGATTGTGGGAAGACGCGAGAGGGACTCAGTGGGCGGGCAGGAGGAGGCACACGAGGCACACCAACGACATGAACAAGCAGCTGATGCAGGTCAGCCATGGCATTGGGCCCCGGTGTCCTCCAGCTGCTGGGAAACCTCCTGCATTCGCGGCTCGAAATCCTGACGCTGGAGGAAGCTTCGAAGGGGGGAGGTCCTGGACCTCAGGCTCCCGCGCCTCCTGGTAGGAGGGCGAGAGTCTGGCCCTGCGCCCGAGTGACGCGCTGATGTGCGCTGTCAATGGCGGGGCCGGTCGGTGTGCGCTGCGCAGCGATGGTGGCGATGGTGGCCGAGGAAGAGGAGATGGAGGAGGAGGAGGAGGAGGAGGAGGAGGATGAGGATGAGGAGGAGGAGGGTGAGGAGAAGGCGGAGGAGAGGAGGGAGGATGAGGAGAGGGAGGAGGAGGGAGGAGGAGGAGAGGAGGAGGGAGGAGGAGGAGGAGAGGAGGAGGAGGAGGAGGAGGAGGGTGGGAGGGGGAGGAGGAAGGAGGGGAGGAGGAGGAGGAGTGGAGGGAGGAGGAGGAGGAAGGAGGAGGAGGAGAGGAGAGAGAGAGAAGGGGAGGAGGCGGTAGGATGAGAGGATGAGGAGGAGGAGTAGGATGAGGAGGAGGAGGAGGAGGAGGGGAGGATAGGAGGAGGAGGAGGAGGAGGAAGAGAAGTGCCCCCCTCATTCTCCCGTGTGCTCACCGCTTTCTTTTCCGGACCGAGGCCGTTGGACCCAAGCCATCCGTGCTCCACGCTCCTCCCCCCAGCTGCCCGCCAGGACACGTATGACCGCCTGCCGCCGCTCTCTCCCCCGACCTGCAGGGGACCTCGCGCGCGCTGCTCCGCCCCAAGGAGGCCCCCCAAGAGGGGGGAGGAGGGGGAGGACGAGGACGAGAACGAGGACGACGACAACGGGGAGGGCGGGAGGAGGAGGAACAAGAGGAGGAGGAGGAGGA